TATACATATATGTCTAGTAAGTATATATATATATATATATATATAGCCTGCACGTCGAAAAAGACTGAATGCCAGAGAACCATATATAAAACCAATAAATAAATAAATAAATAAATAAATAAATAAATAAATAAATAAATAATAAATAAATAACGCAAAAAAGAAACGTACGAAAAAGAAACGCACAGAGACTTTGATCGTTTCAATCAACCAGTATAGGTATGTACTAGCAATTATTATATAATGAATTATTAAGGGCCTGCTGTTCTAGCACTGGAAAGTGGTACCTCCGGTGGGATCTGTGGAGCGTTCTTTCTTCCTCTTCTTCTTCTTGCTGCCATATCCGTAGTTATCCCTGGCACTCCAGCCGGGGTATCGTTGCTGGTGCAGATGGCGCTCCTGCCTGGCCGCCTCATAATACCGCGCCTGCTCCTCCCGACTTAGCGAGTGCCACTGCGTGTCATATCCCCAAAATTCAGATTCACAGAGTCACAGCCTCACAATACTTATCACCGTGCACCATCCCCATTATCTCTCCCTCCCTCTCCCTCTCTCTCTCTTTCCCTCTCCCTCTTTCGCTCACTCGTTTGCTTGAACTTATTCACCATTAGCGACAGGTGGACACATCTATCACTGACTCGTGTGACTCGCCACGTATCCCACGAGAAATCCCCGAAAAATCCCCTTTGACCCTTCCCCTTTTGTCACACAGCGTTTTCTCTATCAAGGCGAATCTGAGATTCCTTAGATCCCACCTACAATGCTCTATTCGTACTGAGATACTAGTAGGTACGGTTAGTTAGCTCCGATTAGTAGCCCGGTAAACAATTTATTCGACAAAAGCATTAAAAATGCATGCAGTACTTGTGTATTTAGAATGAAAATTTGACTAAAAATTTTAATAAGCGGTCGACTAATATTTTCTCTTTCTCTCTTTATTGTTTGAATGCTACACAATGATAAAACTTTTGACGCTCAAAAAAATATATATTAGTTTATTGATCAAAATGAGTTTAATAAACAAAAAAGATTTATTCAACTTATAACAAAGATACTTTTTTTTTTAATTTTAAATGTAATGTATAACATATATTTGATTGTAAATTTGAGTAAAATTGAATAAATTGAATAAATTATTAAAAATAAGAATTCTATATAGAAATAATTTCATTTTTTCTCTCTTTTCCTCTCTCTCTTTACAAATACAAATAGTGTGAAATGAAATGCTTTGAGAACCTCTACTATGCTTCACCAAGAGACAAGAGAAAATATTGAGTTTAAATGAAAATATTGCGTACTTTAATTATTCTTACATCAGAGAGTAATAATTTTATCATTGATCTAGGAATAATCTCAATATTTTCTATATTTTATTATTACAAAAATAGTAAATTCTTTTGAAACATAGTTTACTATATATAATAAATATAATATAATAAATAAAATTATTAAATTATTAAATTAAATGAACTGATCAAATAATTTTCAAATTCGTTGGCGACTCTGATGCAGAACAATTTATTTCAAATCTCAAAATTATCGAAATAAAAAGTTTACTCACTCGTCTTCCTAATATTTGGTTGATCGCAGCGCTCTCTTTTAAGGTACACTCTGCCACAACTTTCGCCCTCATCTCCTTCATATACAGCATAAATGCGTTCAAAGGCTTTTTTATATGGGGTTTCTTTTTATCTGTCAAAACACCATCAAGATTATAAATAATCGGGTCATCCCGTTGATGACCATCATTAAGCCAACGTAGTAGCACCGTAATACATAACGCATGCATACTGGCTTTTACTCGCGTATAAACGTTTACTACCTTGATTGTTCTGTTGTCCCGTGTCCTGAGCTTTCGCGTTATCCGTAGGTAACGACGTGGAGTTTTTCTGCTCTATCGTTGACCTGCAACACGCACATGAGAAAAAATACTGAAAATGAGGCCGATGGACGTATTTAATTCTAGACAAAAAAAGTCCATCGATCGTATTTGTATACCGTTTATTGAAGTAAGACTGTTTGACTTCGGGACTCAGGGGTTCGGGTTTCACGCAGGATAGGGGGTAGGTCGGTGCGGAGTTCTGGGATAATTGGTCGGTCAGATTTGGCGGCGTCGGCGTCGGTGTTGGCGTTGGCGTCGTCGTCGTCGTCGTCGCGCCGTCAAAGTACGATGGCGGCGCGGTCGGTGGTAGCGTCAGCGGGCTCCTCAGAAAGCTCTGCGGCAGTGGCCAGTTCATCTGCTGCCACATGCGATGTCGTGCCTCTACCATCGCCAGTAGCTGCATAAAATTTTGCTGTTGCTGCTGGCTGGCGCCGTATGGCGGCGGCGTAATGCCGCGCGGCGCGCTCAAACTCGACATCTGCATGAGGCTGCTCATGTAGAGCGCGGTCAGGAGTTTGTGATCCGCGGTTGGTAAACCGCCGGACTCGGCAGACTTGACAGCGTCCTGGAGTATCGCCATATTATCCTCGATCGCGCTCTCCTCGGCTGTGACGGGGTCTTTTTCCTCGTCGATCGACGCTTCCTCCGCGATCTTCACCCCGATCACAGTCCTGCCAGTCGGCCCGCTGTCGTCAATGTCGTCCTTTTTGATCACCAAGTTCAGCGGCTCCAGACACTCGGCTGGCTCCATCGCCACATACGGGACTGCCTCGTGTTTACTCGCGGGTCCGCCACCGATGTGATCCAAATTGATCCATGGAATGGACGTTGATCGATGCGATCGACCTCGCGCGCGCTATTATTCGCGCGAGTAGTCGCAAATTGTCGCTACACGGGACTTACGAACGAAACGAATGAAACGATTGTCTCTCTCTCTCTCTC